ATGTCAAATATTCACAGGCTTTTGATTTACCCTTTTATAAAGGAAAAAGCAAAAGAGAAATAATTCTTCTTGTGCTCTTCCCATAAGTTCATTTTGCATTTTTAGGCATGTGTTGCAATGTTTTTTTTCAAATTTTGTATGCTCATTTTATAGAGAATTTTTTGCTCTACAAAAGGACAAAACTTATTTTCTGGCCCCAAGCAAAAGAAAACCGTTATAATAAATTTTATGTGAAAAAGTCATATTCTTTAAATAATGATTTTTGAGAGTAACTTGCACATATTGCTTCAACGTTGCATCGATAAATCTGCTCTAATATATCATTTTGTTTTCTTTTTCGCGGTTCTTGACCAGAAAGCGAGTGATAATTCTCTTCACCAATGACGTGATCGACCGACTGTTTAATGCGCTTGGGGATGAGGAGTGGCATGTCAGAAAAGGTGCGTGTGAAGCCCTCGGGAAGATGGGTGAAAAAGCAGCGACTAACGAGGTGATTGATCGACTGGTTAATGCACTTGGGGACAAAGATGAGGATGTCAGAAATGGTGCGTGTGAAGCCCTCGGAAACATGGGTGAAAAATCAGCGACCAATGGGGTGATCGATCGACTGGTAAATGCACTTGGGGATGAGGAATGGCATGTCAGAGACAGTGCGTGTGAAGTCCTCGGGAAGATGGGTGAAAAAGCAGTGACCAATGGGGTGATCGATCGACTGATAAATGCACTTAGGGATGAAGATGAGGATGTCGGAAATGGTGCGTGTGAAGCCCTCGGGAAGATGGGTGAAAAAGCAGCGACTAATGACGTGATCGATCGACTGATAAATGCACTTAGAGATCATTGTATCGAAGATGAGCGTGCTGCCAGGGCTGTTGAATGGGCCGTTTGTTCTTGGGATGGTATCAAACAATTAGACTCCAATGCGGTTTCGAAATTATTCTCATGCATCAGGCGAAATCGTATGAGTACTCTGAGAATGGTGCCTCCAGCTCAATTCATCAAGGTGTTTTTCGAGACGGGAAATGATGTTGGGCTCGCTTTGACTTTTCATGCTTCATTGCTTCAAGGAAATGCGGTAACTGTGGTGGAGAACAATGTTGTGATATACGGTGGTAAAGAACCAGTTAAGCTCCATGTGTCGCGACCAGAATTGTGTCGGAAGTTGGTTAACGCTTTTGGGAATCAGAGGAAGGAACTTGAAAATCCTCTATTACAGTGCCAAAATCTCAAGGAAGAATGACCAAAACCTCGTCGGTTTGCGAGGTTTTATAGGGACACTCATCGATGTTTTAGCGTATGTTATCCTCTCATGGGGACGACTTGATCCTCGATAGTGTGAGCTGTGCTTTTTTTTATTCTAAAAGTTCGAAATCACTTATATATTTAAAAAGATATGGTTTTAAATATTATTGAGTATAAAACTGCCACAAAGATTATCTAGATTTTTAACAAAAATCAGTGTAAGATTTATTGCTGATTCTTTTGCACTAATTAAACGTTCAAAATGATTGATATTCGCCAAATAGTGTGAGAAATATCACAATTTACTTGAATGAAAAACAGCAACCTGCTGTAAGTCATAAAAAATACAACCATCGCCTATGTTAATGATTTTTCCGATTTCTTCTCTACAGTATTGAAATTAGTGTGAGGAGTATAGTGCCCAGGCATCGGGAGAAAGAGAGAGAGGAAAAAGGAACATGAAAACTATTTGAAAAGAACTTTAAAAAGAACAGAGAAGCGGCCGTATCAATGTCAAGGGGTACATTCGTCAGAATTGGTGACTCTGACGGACTTAGTTTGTCAGTGTTGACAGAGTCAGATTGATTGTGTTAGTAGAAAGAAAAGCAGTTTATCTCTGCCATTATCCAACATCAGAAAATTTGGTGCTTGCTCCGCGTTAACCAAATTGGATAAAAATTGGGCGCCAGATGCAAAATTTGTCGGTGAATCCGACAGCGGGTTCTTTATAATTACGTCTTCACTTCTTTCTTGGCGTCGACATAATCAACGTGGTTTTTGCCTAAATTTTAAGCCTAAAAGTTAAGCGCCACGGCGATGATTAGTAAGTAGATGGATGTCCATCGCTGAAGATCGAAACAGTTCGGTGACGTCGGACATATATATTCTCCACTGCATCGAGAGCACATCAAGCTTTTCCGGAAAAAAGATTAGGTTCCACTGAAGAAACAACCAAGTTCTGGACGAAAAAAGATGAAGTTGTTGTGAAGAAAAAACAAGTTCTTCAGCAATAATGATGAGCCTGTCGAGAAGAAACGTGAGGTACTTCAGGAAAAACGCTCGAGTTGTCCTTAAGAAACACCAAGTTCTTGAGGAACTATGATGAGGTTCTCGTGGTGAAACACCAAGTTCTTGTAAAATAATGATGAGGTTCTCGTGGTGAAACACCAAGTACACGTAAGAATCGGTAAAGTTGATAGCAGCAAGAGTTTAGGAGACCTGCAGATATATACCATCACTTTCAAAATCGAACAACTCCATGTAACAGGAGACAAAACGCCCGCGAGTCTATCAATCAATCAAACAATAGACAAACATGAGTAGATAGCTTCGCAGAGACCCGATAGAAAGAAAAAGAACAGACAAAACATACGATAGAAAAAACGAGATTCGAAGAGCGCAATTACCTATGCTAATAGGCAGCAGGGTGCCCCACTAACGCGGGGAATTAGCCGTGTAATTCTGTCAAACTCCATGTAGTGAAAGAAGCAGTAGCTGGTTTTCCACAATAACACGAAAAACAAAAACATCGCTCTATTCACATTTTTCAGCAGAACAGCAGCAGAGGACATGATCGCTCAACTGGACTCATCAGCAAACATCTATATCTTAAATAATTTGACGGTAAAGTAGTGGAAATTAATTTAAATATTACTGAGTATAAAAAACTGCCACAAAGATTATCCAGATTTTTAGCAAAAAACAGTGTAAAATTTATTCAAGCTTTCGATAAGAGACACTTATCATCATCAGGAAAAACCGAAAAGTGAAATGAAATCTCTCGATATATAGTATGATTGCTAATTGATAGAAACTCTATAGAAAGAGAACAAGAAAAAGCTAATACTAATTGATAGACTATCGATAGAGAAAGGAACAAGAAAGAACTAATAATAGTCTTATGTGAAGATATTTAATTTAAATTTTACGTCATTTAGCGATTTT